AAAAGGTCATTGCCTTATTTCTTCATCTTGCCACTCAGCTCCTGGAGCTCAGTTTAACTGCAGCATGAGGGCTAAGCTCTCTGAGAAAGGATGAAGCTTCGTGCTCACAATGCTGCAGCATTTCTCACAGGATCACCAAGAATCTGAGTAAGTCTTCCTGGTGTTCCTGCACTTTAAAAAYCAKSAGTTTGCACAGTTTGGAGGYCCAGAAGAATGATTRYGRGTTCTTGGGATTTGTTATTCCATTGTAGTCACCCAAGATTTTCTACACTGTCACATGGATTAATAGTGAAACCTGAAACCATTTAATCATACTTATACAGGTATCTCAGCAGGCTTAGTCACAATGAAAACAGAAAAAGAAGACACAGGCAATAAAAAACAAAGCTAAGGACATCAAACACACTTTAAACATAGGAGTAATGGATAAATCTTGCTCTATGAATGCGGTGCAATTAAATATTCTGATACTTTGTTTTAGCTTGTTGATTCATTTAAAYAGTCTTTCTTTCCCTTACACAATTTTCAGCTTCTGTCTATAGCCTAAGTATTGGAGAACGTACTGCTAAGGAGCTGTCTTGTGTGCTGGGCTACATTCAGCCCAGGCAAGGATCCTGTCAAAAAGAAAAAGATGACACAGAAGTGAGAGGGGAAAGGAAAAGGCAAAAGTAGAATTCATTCAAAAACAAGCTTAAGGGAAAAGGAAAGAAAAATKTGAGGAAGAGGAAGGGAAAAGAAAGCTTTTCAGAAGTGATTGCTCAAAATAAATTATGTCTGCTACTCAAGGAAACACARACCACAGGAAAACTTTTTGTCTTCCTGACTAAATGATAACTTCTAATAAAARCTTTTATGAAGATAAAAATAAAACYAGAACATGGCTCTRTTTCTCACTTCTAGCAGAATTGCTTTGGAAGGGATGCACTGAAGGGATGCAGCACCTATCACCAGGGCACTGAAAGTCAGAAAGTTTGAATCTAAACTCATGTAGTCCCCAACRGGTATCAGATAATACCAGAAAAATTAACCCACACCTGTCTTCAGCAATGTGTGTATGAACAGCTGTTTCCTCTAATTCCAGGTAGGAAATGTGGCACCATTCCTGAAGTGCTCTTTGCTACCTGAGCTGAAGGTTGGCAGTGGCCAATTCACAGAGGCTGAGGTTCTGTAATGCACTTAAGGGCAAAGTGCAGGTGCAATCACTGCCAACTCACACAGTCTGACAGCGTGGTGGATCCTGTGTTCCCAAATCAGGGACTCTCACCCAGAGGCAGCAGAGGAATAGCTGGGTGGGAGCTCTGCTACAAGGAGCAGATGGAAACAACACGGAGATCTGTCAGGGGCTGTGTAAGCACGRGAGCAAGCTGCTGTGTTCCACTGGCACCTCTGATGCTGCAGGACAGGCTTTCACATTCCAGCTCTCATGGAAAATGAAAAGGCAAAAATAAAACGAATTTAATGTTGTCACATATTTCTCCAAGGCAAATCAGACTAGAGTTGAAAGAACAACAGAAAACAACCCCTCTCCTTTAAAATCCTTCTACTGTTCCTGATTTATCCTGCAGAGGAATCATAATCCCGCAACTGATGAAACCATAGCATGTTACCTTGGTAACTGTAACTCAAATTCAGTCTTTAAAATACACTCAAAGGTCAGACTGCATGAAAAGTTAAGCTTAGGAAGGTATAATTCACATTGAAAGGCAGGGTACAGGGAAAATGTACCCTGATGTTTCCAATTACAAAGATTCCAAACAATAAATATGGACATGTTTGGAAAAAAGGAATAAGATCACACAATGKCAACACCAAGACTGCATATATAAACCTACTTTAGGAAGCTCTGAATATATGTAATAATAGCTTTTATATTCACATGAAGATGCTATTGCATCAAATTATTGTCATAACATTTTCTATCATCTAAAATGAACGTGCGCATTCTTTGAAATATTTTTCATTGCTACATGCTACAAAATAAAGGGTAAGGTTTACTAAATAAGAAAAAATTTCATCCCATACTTCAAGGCATATTTGTCAACATTTTGTTAAAAACTCTGTATTCTTTTTTCTTATGAAAGCAGCATAATTCTTCTGAGGATCAACTCCAGCACTAGAGCAGTGTCAGACTCAAAGATCAATCTGTGCCCATACATTTACAGTGTTAATGAAATATATTATGCTCAAATATGCTCAAATTACATATAATACATAATAGCAAGATGTGGAAAGCTTTTCATTTAGGTCATGTTTGTGAATAGTAAATAGCACAGAATTCTGTAATTTTAGAAATGTATCCATGAGTGTACACACACCTTGATTTTGTATCTAGGAAAATGAYATGAACTCACAACCAGGCTTCAAGTGTAAAATGAAGAAGAATTAAGGCCAAATTTATGASTCTAAACTTGGAATCTCAACTGCTGTGTAGGAGCTTCATGGTGCACCCTTAGGATTTTTTGTTAATTTTCAGAGAGGGAGATGCAGAGAAAAACAAACATCTAAACCCACTCTCACAGAGAAGTCAAGCATGGAAAATTCTGGCCCCAAAGGCAATGGTTTTGAAAATCATTAGGCAACCACTTTGGCATACACCTGGGTAGCTCTTCAGAAAGCTCTGTCTTTAAAGTTAGTCCTATAAAAGAAAGCAATTTTAAAGCATCTCCATTTCTATGTGACCTTGAAAGTCCTACAAGCTGTCAAGGCATTCCACAAATGAAAACTTCCTCAAAAAGGAGAATCTGACAACAGAGACGTCTGCCCCACAAATCTCTGCAGTTCTCATGTGATTGGGTGTTACAGAACTTTCAGGACAGCTCAACAAAAGCAYTGACTCTGCTCTCACTGGAGGGCACCTGCACTGATTCAAGAGAAACAGGGAAGGCCCTGAAATGAAGGAAAAAGAGAAGAATTTATTCCAGCACCATAGCAGCTTGATATTTTTTGTGTCCCTGGCCCACCAGCTCCMGAAGACAACTTCTCAGCTGGATGAAACTCACCTATAATTTTTGAACCATTACAATTCTTATCATGGCTTAGCAAGATCTACCTTCCATTCTACTGTGATGATGGCTTATTAAAATACTTACAATTATGTAACTTGCAATTTTTTTTCTTGGCTTGCGACCTAAAAGCTCTAACCAATATTTCATTTGCTGTGTAGGGTGTGAACCTGAATCAAAGCTGTAAGCACACTTTTTGTAACTAGAATTAAAGACTTAAATGGACTTGTTAAATCCATCTCTTGGCTTACACAGAATAACAGAGGACATRTTCAGRGGGTTGGAGAGAGTGAAAGAAAATCTGTTAAAGTTTGAATTGCTAGTCATGACAGAAAGCATTCCAAAATAATTACCCTAAATCATACCTTTTCTTTCAGATGGAGGAGAGAGGTCTGGGAATCTRAACTTTTGTTCCATAACCATGAAATGCAGGTAAAGCCCACGACCTGTGTGTCTATGCAGGCACACAAATGCACTGCAGCCACTGGGGGAAAGGGTGCTACTACTACYAYTTTACCTRCAAAACATTTCTACAAGACATAYTGGACTTCTAAAAATAGCAGAAAAKCTTGTTAGCACCACAGGGAAGAGAAGGGAGTTAGGAACAAGAACAATATTCAATTTTGTGCTTTTAATCACAATGGATATGCTTGGGYTCACTATCTAAGGATTCTTACAAGTTCAAAACTACATCTACGTGACTTAAATATTTGTACTTTCTCTGARGAAGGCAGGAATAATGTCGAAAGCTGTGTTGATACTTTGCCTTCACTAGAGAACAGAGTTAATATCATCTACCTCTCTAACTTGACATTCCTGGCAGACAGAAAATTAGAGAAGGAAACAGATAAAGAATAAACTGTTCTCTGGACAATTCATACAAAATCAAGTCCAACACTTCTGTACTGAAAACAAGGATTCCTGGACTCCAGAACAAATCTCTCATATTGGTAAAAATGTAGATGTCGCAGCTTCATTAACAATCAACACTACAACCAGAATCTCACAGAACTCACTAGTACTGCACAAATGATACCCAGCTGAAAGAGTAATTTTAATTCTTATTGTGTAGGAAAGAAATTACAAGTGAGTACTAATAACTTTAAAACTCTTGATATAAAATGTTGCCATTTAATTCTGTGGGGAACACGTAAAGGAAGATGCAGGACAAAATGCACAACTGAAAAAAGAAAAACTCTAAACTATGCAAAGCTCCACAAAATAAAGTAGTTGTGTTGGTTTGTTGTTTTGTATGGGGAGCTATTTGTTTTATTTAACTGAAGAAGGGCACAAAGTTTAGCTCTGATTTCCTCGTGTTAGGACTACCACCACTATCACCAAGGATTTGTTTCATTCATTGCAAAACACTTTCAGACCAGAAAGTCTCATCAGACTTATTAAGCAGRTCTAATCTGTTCATAGAGAATGCAAACATGAACAAGCCATAGGAGATCAGAAGATTTGGGGGTAAGGACCTGCTGWGGACAAAATTTTCTTTACATTATCTCATGAAATTTTTCTACTGGGCCTTTTAACACAGGCTGACAGGTATATCCAGGTAAAAATGAATTTTACCAAATTAGAAAACAAAAATCGTATATTGCCTCAGAGAAGGGGAAGGGTTTGTAGAAGAATGACACTCATACAGAATGTTCACCTTTTCTTGCAGGTTTCCTACAGGCCAAAACACTTTTTTTTTTCCCTCAAAACAGTACATGCAAATAAAATCTATTGTAAATTAAATTACATCGACCTTCAAAAAGAAAACATTGTGGTTTCAAAAGGTTTACACTGTAGCACAGACAGCTGAGCATGGCAAGCACTCTGAGCAGTCTGAGCATATGGTAAATAACCTCCCTACAAGTGTGGAAAACCTTGCTGTTAGCACTCTCATCAAGATGTGAAGTCTTCTTTAGATGACTTTCCTGTAGCTGTTTAAATTTGTATTTACTCTACTCAATGATTTAAAAAAKAAATAAATTAGGGGGGGTTGCTTACCACCTGTATGCACCACCTTGCAATCTGCTGCTGAAGGCTCRTTTTCACCCTCTTTAGTGTTGCTGATGGTGTCTTTTTCCAGCAGTCTGTCCACCATGGCAATAAGGCAGTTCAAACTTTTTGCCACATTAGCCCACACCCTGTCCTGAAAAGAGCAGAATTATCACTGCATGTTACTGAAGAAGGAAAAAAAAAAGAGATTCCATAGTAATTTATTAACACCTTCAAGTGGAGACAGACTCATGTGAATGACTAGAAATATCAGGTGTCAGCATATGACTGCTTCTCTCATTCTTCAGCTTATTACCAACCTCAGCCTTCCTCTTGGAGCTTTTTCTGGCAGTGCAAACAAATCCAAACTGTTACGGTTTTTAGACATGGGAGAACACGTGCTTCCAACTTGACATGAAAATGCAGGAACTGAGCAGTTTGTCTATTTAAATGATACCTTAAGAGTGTAGGCATATTCAAAGCCTTGCCAAATCAAACCTTGTGTGGAACTGGCAGTTCTGTCATTGTGCTTAAAAACTTCTTTTTGATAATTTAACATATCCTGTATTTTATCACATCAGTTACTCTGCTGAAGAAAATCTAAAATTCAARGACTAGAATGAGAAACTTGCTGTCATGGCATGTTCATTAGGCAACAAAATTCCAAATTCRTTCCTCCCCTCTCACATAAACTGCAGCCATCACATTTAACTGAGTTGATAATAAATAAGAGAATTACAGAAGCAATATRGTGATAGCAGAAATTCTGTATGAGTAGAGACTAAAGAAATAATGTGGAGTATAAGAAAGAATTGTTATGGAAGAGATAAACAGGGAGGGTCCTCCAAGTGCTGGACACTGCAGAAATCACAGCTCTTGCACCCACTTTCATGGCACAGAATAAGGAGAAAAACAAGCCATGCAAGAAATGAGACTGCACATGAAACAAGCAATCAGATTAAAACAAAACCATAACAAATCCACAGAAATCCMGAGCATGCACATGTTTTAATGCTGAGTCATAATAAAATAAAATAATGCAGAGCAACCAGACTTTGCATGAGGGTTAAAAATGGGAGGATAATATCCCAACTTTGCTTTGTACTTTACAATGCCAGCAGCATTATGTATAAGTCAGGTCTTCAGGCACCAAAATGGAGTTGCAAAAGACAGTGAGACAGAAGGTTAAAGGAAACTGGAAACTCAGAGCAATGCCATAGTTCCATATAAATGTCAACACTTGGAATTTGTGGGAAGGCAAATCTAAAACAATCACTAAGGCAATCATTTAAATGTAATGTAACTTTTTGACTACATGCCACACTTAAGGCCTTTCCTGACCAGAAGGACCTGATCTTTCCCTGTCCCCTCCTCCTGAGGATGCACCCTGTGATGAGTGACAGAAGCACRGGCTTGTCCAACCTGTACAACAGAGTTCCTATCCTCCAGCTCCCCAAACCTGATTACTGGAGCCTTCTTGTGGGCTGCCTTAAGGACAACAGAGCATTCAGTTTATAGCTGAACACAGAAACTATGGTTTCATCTTCTCCCTAGATAAACTCAATCTTTAACCATACTACGAAAAAGAGGCAGGTTGGTCACACCCAAGCAGAACTGCATTTAATCCACAAATACTGTTTTTTAAAGTGCTGCATGTACAGTGCAACTTCTGAAAATATCTGCACCTGTACAGATGAAACAAAGCATTAGACATATGCATATCTGAAACTCACATGCTTAGATACAATTAAAAGTCAAAAGACAGAAGACAGGTGTAGATTCCTTCAGAAACTTTGTTCTCTATGCACCTCAAGAAATCCTGAAAAAAATTTAGAATATGTGCAAAAGAACTGCTTTTTATCACCTGTAACTATGATTTTGGGGAGAAGGCTTCTATGAAGAGCAGTAAAATACTGAAAATAGTAAAAATTCRGGCCCCCAAATACCAGCAACTTTAGCAGAGTTGTGAGGAAACTTCAGGGCTTTCAGTCACTGAAGTTGCTCAGGAATATTCAACTCAAGTTGCTCAGCRTGGCTACAGCAGTGTAATTTCCCTTTCCTCTATCTGCTGGGCAAGTTTAATCCCAACACAAAAAGCATTAAGCTCTTAATGAGCATCTGGAGTTATTGCACAAGCAACAAAAATATGAACCCTTGTTCCACTTTGGAAAGAGCATTCTTCTCTTTTCAAATCAACTATTAACCCAGCATTGAGATGATGTCTATGCAATATTCACACAGACATTCCCCGAGGGTTTAGAAGCAAAATTCATAAACATCTGTTGACAGAAAGCTCACTCCTATTACCATTTATCTGGCTTTCTTATATACAAGCAAGTGAGAGGAGCAAGGGGCTGTCCCACCGCTCCTTTTCTCCACACAGGAGGTTCCTGGGATTGCAGGCAGATAGAAAAAGTAGAGCTATCATTCATTGAGATGTTACTGTGTTTGCACCAAAGGCAGTCACATTTTTCTGAGGGCTGTTGAAATTCTGTCGTTTGGCAGGAATAATTATCAAGTAAAAATGCATTTTGCAATCAGTGGAAATCAAGTGGCTTTCTATGATTCTCCATAAGAAGAAATTCATCCATTTCACATTGTCATGCACTATTATTTCCAGAATATTATCCTGTAGTCTAACACATTTTCCACCCACCTTTCATTTCCTTAAGCAGTCTATTTTCAATTTKCCTAAGAACAACCTCACAAGGTTGATCATTTTACAGGATTTGCCAGGTTGAAGGAGAAAATAGAGTCCACGCAGCCTCTTAAGTAAGTGAAGGATCAGGAGAAATATTCCTGAAGTACACTGAAGTACTAAGACCCTAAGCAGKATGCTTTTCCCCTGATCACAGATTTCCCACTAGTTGCTGGAACCATGTGGATGACAAGTCTGTGGTATGGGAGAATGAAAGAAATAAGGGCTCTGTCTGCCTCCCATTACTGCTTCTTTAAGTACAAAAGTCAAGGCAATGACAGGGAAGGTGGAAATCTGTAATAGGGCTTGACCCCACTGAGAAAATGCAATGACATATTTACATCTTCTTCTAGAGTTCAGAATTCATTTGGGGTGTTAGGGAGTCCTGGCACATGTAGCTGCATGTTGCTAGTTAGAAATGGTCGTGGTCACACCTCTRTTGTCACCTCTGCTGTGGCACTGGCACACAGACACGCACACTGAAAGATCCCCATGGAAAGCCAGGCCTGGGCATCAGTGAAAGCTGAGTACTTTTCCTAGGACAATTGAAAATGAACCTGTAAAATAATTCTCTTTCTCCCACCCAACTGAAAAACAATTTAATTAATTTCCATCTGCCCTGAAAGTATCACTAGACAGTAATCCAGCTTCTTTATTTTGGGGAGCAGGAATGTATACTCTTCTCTCACTGCACCCAGGTGCACGCTGTCCCCCTAAACCCTGCTGGCTGGTGGAGGTCCAGAAGCTGTCTCTTCATTTTCGAAGGATTCTCAGCCTTTCTGAATTCACTGCAGAGTTCCCCAGTAATTTTTTCTCCCTCCATATACACCACTGCAGTTGGGTACTTTACTCAGGAATGCCAGGAATGACAGTGCACCTCCATTTCCAGTGCTCTGAAGCTGCTGTGTCCTTCCTGTGGGTGGATATTCAGGTATTTCCTTAAGATYCTTTGGAGCTCAGCTCACAGATAAAGCAAATATCTTAAGCAATGTGTGTGATTAACCCCAGGATTATATCCCAGACACATCAGTCTTTCAGCTCCCTGTCTGATCACCACATCAGCTCTTGYAGGGCTTTTTGGAAATGCCATTTTATCTGCCCTTTGTAGTTTTTGCATTTACAGCTTGGTCAGAGGTGCAGAGCAGGGTCAGCTCCAAGGGGCAATGTGCCCACCTTGTCTTGTATTATCCATGAAGATTTSCTTCATGCCCTCCTGCAGGGAGGTTCTAGGATGGCAGGAGCAGCTGGCAAGAGGAGGAGAGAATATCGACCCAGAGGCAAGGTAAAACTCTCAAGTTAAATATTTCTCCTCCAACAGTGATGCKTTCCTGCTGCCTGTGCATGGTGCACCAATATAAACAGCTTAATCCAGGCTGCTGCCAGTGACCCTGGGATGAGTATTTGTATTTCTGTGATGGTCAGAAGGTAACAAACTCATGGGAAGTGGAAGGAACAGGGTCAGCTTAAGAAGTTGTTTCAGGATTTAGATTTCAGGCAAAACAGAAGTTGAAATTCCAATTGCAAAATAGAACACTAGTGCTTGATAAAAAGAAAAAGCTCACAACATCAAAGGAGTACACAGTACTGTGCATACAAAGCAATATATCTAAAAGTTTTTTCCTTTACAGTTGATTTTCAGAGTAGATTAATATTTTTTCAAATTTTATATGAATTTATTCTTTCTCTTTTAATCTTGCTAATGACAATTGGATCATTAAAACTCACATTATCCATCACTTCTGCTGACAGAACGAACTGAAATCTGTACAAGGTTTAATCCTTCAAATTCAGAAAAAATCATGAAGTTTCTCTAGTCTCAAATACTGTCTCAAGTTTGACAGTGACTGACTCAGCTTAACTGAGAAAACAGTGAAAGATACACCTAATTTTGAATCAAGATGATCTTACTAATTCAGCAGCAAAAATAGATGCACTTTCAAATGATGCATTTACGCATTTTAATAGATGAGGACCAAGCACCTGGCAGATTTTTTTTAATCCATTATGACAAAGAGCAAAACTATCTTCTCTTCAGAGATGTTAAATTGCAGTACTACATTAAAATACAGCTACCACAAAAGCACTGTTTTTTCCAATGCAAAATTTCACTCTTTTATGACACCTATTGTGTTAKTTATATTTCTGAACGTTTCAACAGTTGAAAACAAACATTTTGGCTTTAGTTTAAAGGAAAGAACCACCATTCCAGCCCCTCAGGTTGTAGAGAAAACAAGAAAAGCGAATTCAAGGCTCTAAAACCAGAGGACAAATAAAAGAATGAGTCATTTATTGTTTAAATCTCATGACTACTTAATGCATGGGGATGGAAATAATTGCCTTTTCTCTAGAAGAAATATATTCTTCTTCCCTTATTCTTGGTGTAGATAAAAATTACAGTTCAGGTGCAATACCATAGCTCACAYAGGTTATTAATTATTTACAATGGAGATGAATATGCTGGCATCCTTTACATTTATGAGAATTCAGTGATGAACTCAAAGTATGAGCCTTCACTGAATAAAAACAGCTTGAGTATGGATGTAACAAATTAACACATCTCTTATGAAGGCATCTACCAAAATAATTGATTTATAAAATCTCAGCCATATAAATAATACATATCTTTGAATGATATGCTAAGAATGTAATAATCTACAAGTTRTGTTTAATTCTTTTACACAACCTCTAAGAACAGAGACTAAGGGAAAAGGGCTCTGTTTTGCTGAGGGTTAATTCATGAGTATTTAAACTGGTTAGAGCCTGAGGGCTGGGGAGGGGTGCTGGAGAGGGTGGGGAAGAAAAATACATTTCCCTCTGAACAGCATATGCTGTTCCAGTCCTTAAATCTGCCCGACTACCAAAACTAATTCAAGTAAGAGCAAAGAGCACTATTTTTCTGTCTGGGAAATGAGATATTCATCGTCTTCACTGTTATATTCACAAACAGGCAGTCTCAGAGCAGCTCACTGTACTTAGGAAAAGCCTTCAAATTRAGTTTCCAAACCTGTGATGTATCTGAAAAACACAATTTTATGGTTTTGCACTGCACAGACACGGGACAAGGACGCTCAGGGCTTGTGCTTGTTTGTGCTGATTTGTAGGGTTTCTCATTGAACACCAACCAATGTTTCTGGCCACTTACCCACTCTTCCTCGTCGTACTCAGAGTGGTGGGGTATAGAGTCCTGCCTCTTGATCTGAGAGGGATGGTCCTGCTGCTGGGCATTGTCCCCTTCCTCAGCACTGCTCCTGGGCACCGCTGGCTTCTTGAGCACGCAGCCAGGTCGGGCAGTGTACAGTGCTAGAAGGGCACTTCTGACCAGCTGATCCTTGAACGCGTGCACAAACAGCTCCGTCTGCAAAAAGGATCAACCAGGGAAAGGTTACACCAAAGAATGGAGCATTGCTGCAAACGTTCACACCTAAACATCCCCAAGCAGAGCGGGAATTTGTTTCAGGCCTGTCTGAGAGGCAGAAAGTAAAGCAGGCCAACAAACACTGAGGAACATTTCAAGGGTTTTAGGGATATTGATGCCTTAGGATTTTTCGTTTCTATATTTTCATGCGTCTGTATTCTTGTAGTCCTCCAGTACAGCACTAAAAACTATCTTTCTCCCATCTTTAGACAAAACAATCCCTCTCTGAGCCTGAATCCAAGGACACCTCGCTGCCTCAGAGCCCCAAAATATGTAAACAACAGTGAGTTGGGGGGGGGGAAGCAAGTTTGGGGTGATTGACATCATCACCTGTAAAGATCATTGGGGGATTGAGGCCCAATATGTTAATAAGACAGAACTTAGAAAAGTATAAAAGGTGAAGATCTCGTAACTCGGTGTCCATTTTGGGTACAGCCTCAGGAGAAGGCTTTGTCTGCCCTAATGTACCAGTAGGCCTGTTAGGCCTGGATTAAAGTTGTGTATTCTCATTCTCTTAACTTTGTCTGGCCTCTCTTTCAGATCAGCCCGATTGATAAGGCATCAATATCATCACATTCTACAATCCCGTTGTGCTAAGGATTAATACAAGAGTACAGTAGCTGTGATAGTGATCATAATCTTTTCACATTTCATTCRAATTCCAGATTTCACCTGCAGAGGMAAACCTCAACAAGAACCACTTTCAAGAGTAACCAACCATGGCACAGTAATTTCTGAATAAGTGTCAGATAAAACATGAATAACCAGTTTAATCCTCTACCTAAATAAAACCYACCACTGCTGAAACAGCAGTACCTGCAAAAGTAATGTTTCCAGACATAAATTTCATTACATGTAGGTATCAACCCTTATACTTACTTATCAGGGTAGGCGAAACCTGATTTCAAGCTTGATTTTATGAATTATTTAAAGAAAGGAAATCCTGAAGTAGTTTTCAAAGGCCATCTGAAGATGCTATTCAATCTCTGTATAATTTTTCTATGTTGACTGGTACAGCTGAAGTTTTACCATATTTACATKATCCACTCCTACTCAACTTATTTTCCTTGCCTTCCTGCCTCAATCAGCTCCCAAAAGTTTACTGACATTTAAGACAAAAAGGCTCCAAATAAATTGACAGTTTTCACAAGGCTCCAGCTGCTGGGCTAGGTACTTTCTTGAGAAGTTTTTACTTTTTCCCGTTTTCATTAGGTTTAGGGGGAAAAAAATGTTAATGGTTGCATATGGAAAGGCTGAAAACTTTTACAGCAAATGAATATTGAAAGTTTTAAAAATAAGAACCTCAGGCATATCTGAGGTAAGTTATTAATTTTTAAAACCAAAATCAGGACTTCCTTCAGACTTGATTTGGGATTCTTTAGGCTTGGCAACACTACTCATCTCCCTGGCGATTTTACCAGACCCATTCCTTCTCCCCCTGACCAACTTGGTGCCTGAGGGAAAGGGTGTTTTTTAACAGTTTTCTGCATTTCCAACTTCCACATGGTGCATGTTTGGAGAATAAATTACTCTTTGGGGAATATTGCTATCAAACCCTGCCATTCTTTGCCTTACCATGCCAAAATGAGAGTTCTTCAAGACTCTTCTACAGTTTCATATGAAGAGAGTTGAAACTACATTATTCCTCTATCCTTAGAAATGGCAATATCATGGTTTTGCTGAGGTTTCCATACCTATCTTCCCCGCAAAGTCTGTTTGAGATCATTCCAGCTCTCTGCTCAGGCATGGACACTCAAAAAAGCTTTAAATTGCAGAAAATTGTGAGTATTGGACAACTTGATTGGAATGTCCACTATGAATGCAATGTATATTAGGTAATGATCTGAAAAGTTTAAGTTATATAATTGTATAGAAATATCTCATAGGGAAAATTAATTATTTTAAAGCAAATCAGTACAGAAGCAAGCCTCCATTTTTTTTCATACAGAAATTAAAATGATTCTCTAATTAAATTCCATTCAGAGATCCCATTGGTTTAACAGCAATCTACATTTCAACTTCATTTTCTAACAGCTCWGTACAACTAAATTTGCAGAACATCACTATTTATGAAATTGCATTGAAATCACAAAATGAGCCTATACAAAGAAATTAAAACTTTGCAAATTCTTTTAGATACTCTACTAAAGAATATTTCTGCAAACAAAGATAGGCWTAGCTGGAAAATGAATTTATCAAGCCTTCTGCAAGCTGCAAATGCTGATACAGTTGTCRACAGCTAAAGGTTTCCTTAATCAATTAACAAAAACTGATGATAAAAGGTTAGTCTCAGGAAAACACTACAGTAAATTGCAAATTATATGTGGAGAAGTRAAACCATGCTTAATATGAGAAAATAAGCTCAATTTAAGAAGTAGCAGTGGAATTATTTGATTTAATTTTCCACTTTCAATCCATGCAGCCAGTCCTTCCATTTCGAGCATGAACACTTAAATGTAATTCACATTATTGATAGCTCAGATTTACTCACTGCTACCTAATAATTATAGAAAGAATTATTCTATATATCAAGCTTATATTCTATATATCAAGTGATTTACTTTTTAATAAACTTGTGGAATTTAATCACCAGGCAAATCATTTTTATTACTTCTTTAAACAGCTGTTTCATTTTTAAATTTCTATGGAGTTAAACTGTAAGAACATTTTTTTAACATAGAAAAAGTATAGGAAAGATGGAATAGCAGAAGCACTGCGTATGCCTCAGGAATATAAGGAGATATCATGTAATTTTATTTGGCAGAGTGTGTGCTACTCTATCTCAAATACAACCAGGGACACCCTGTTAGTCCTGGTACTTCCATACTGTACTAGATCATATAGATAGGTTATTTTAAGACATCAATACAATGCTTTGAATTAACTATGTGGGATCTTATCACAGTATTGTATGAGTTCAGTCAATTTGGGTGTTTGAAATGGTATTTCATTCCCATGAAGTTGTTTCTGGGTCTTTCATCTCCATTTCTCTTCCTTTCTGTTCGAGCAGCTGTCCCACCACCCTTGCTGCCTCAGCAATGKTTCCACCCTATCATATTTGCATTTTCCATCTTTTCCTCAGTGTAAACTTGGTAATGGACGGGAAACAGGTACTGAACCATTCATGCAGCAGTTTGGACAACTGCATTAATCTCTTCTGAGCAAAAGGTGGAGGCCAGAGAGACATCCATGGAATACAGCCTGTGAGAATCCTTCTGGGAGCCCGAGCTCATGTACTAACAGCAATTTAATCCTGGCCCTGGAAAGTTAATATGAATATATACAGCTAAGTCACCAGCTATAAATATAAAATATCTATGACTTTTGCAAACTGGATTAGATTGTCTTTTTTTGCCCTTTCTTATAGCGAGACTCTCCAGCAGGCAGAGCTTTAGCAGCATGGGCTGCCTTCAGCACCTCTGAAACCATCCCCTGCTCCTGCCCAGAACTCACACACACATTCCTTGGCAACCACACTTTGGATCTGCAGAACAAACACTCCTTTGCCTGGTTTGGCTCACCTGTGCATGGAGATTTCTTTGAACCAACCATCAGCAGAGCAGGTCCACTTGTTCCATGCACAGCTGAAAATGCCCTCCGACATGGAACAGTACACTATAATTGCTACAGCCCCTCTCCCTAAATTCCTCTGTTTCATTTCCAGGATGAATTCCTGCTTTCCTCTATTATCTCTGGCATTCACAGTGACTCCAGTGCTCTCAGAGTTGCTGTGGATTTACACATCTGCCACTGASAGCAATGTTTCTCTCCCCCGTGGCTCCGGTGCAATGCCTTCCCAGCAAGCAGCTGAGCTTGATGTTCGGATTTGAAACTCTCCCACWGAAGGAGGAACTGCTGGGATCATGGTGCTCAACAGCCCACAAGGGCTGCCACTCCCCAATAGCTGAAGATATATTGAAATGGTTATTGATGGYGTTAYRAAGCCATCCTGGGATCACSTTCCTGAAGGGATGGCCCATGGAGCGATGGGGAACTCTTTTGCAACCTCACAGCTGGAGGGTTTATATTTTTATGGGATAACATATGCTGGGAACTACTACAAGCTTCAGCTAATCTTCATTATCAGTCTGTGAGATGGGCTGGAAATATTATCTTCTTAATTTAGAATTAAAGAAACTAACATGAGGAAGAGCCTACAACTACAGAGGGATCTCATAGGAGAAAGAGAATTAAAAAWTGAGGTCTCCTGGTGCCAACTTCCTAACTTCTCCTTCCAGGCTGCATCACCATTTCTGATCAGGCTATTATCTAAACCTGATGCACAAACCTGGCTTGAACTATCTCCCACAAGTAGCAGCTTGAAGCACAACAGAAAGAGAATTAAAAATAATGATTTATCATACCATAAAATTATTCCTAAATGTTGATATTTTGATAAACCCCAGTATGTGGCCACTAGAGGATAAAGAAGATACATGAAATTAAATTATTTAAACTTTTAAATAAAGGCAATCTTTTTAGATTTCATTAATTTTCTATATGGAAAGCCTACAGAAATGCTTAWTACATTATTTTTCTAGTAATAACATTTTGAAGCTTATTTTAGCYGAGTTTATTTAACATTTCCTGATGCTCTGAAAAGTCAATTTATGCAGTAAAAAAAACCCCAGCAATTAGCGACTTGGTTATTCCATTTTCCACGGCAGTGAAGATTTGAATCTTACTTTTTCTGAAAGCATCTTTAAAGAATTCTTCAAGCTGTCTGGAGAGCGTTGGCTTGCAGAGCTGAGCAGCAGGTCTGCATGGCTTGATATGAGAGGCTGCAGATGATTGATGTTGCTGAGAACTTCCTTTGCCTTGGCTGTGTTTTCAGGTGAATAGTAAATACACTGGTACCCAGTACTGTGATAACA